GGTGCCATTTGTGACTTCATATGGAATGCTAAAGATGCATTTAATGGCTCTTGAAATACAGGGGTTATGACCAAAGATAAGTGATGATTTAATGCAAATTGAGAGGCCTTACGTGAGGTTCATTGATCAAAGGAGAAAGTCACATGTTTGAATCTCACTAGAATCTGTCACACACCTTGCATAACTTTAATGATGAAGAGGATCAGCTTATTCACTTCAAACAATGCTGTATTATTGATTCTAGGAAATAGAATTTGTCTAGAAATGCTGAAAAAAAATCTTTATAGTAATTCAGAATTTAAAAGCAACTGTAGAAAAAAAGGTATGGAAGGAAGGAAGGAAGGAAGGAAGGAAGGAAGGAAGGAAGGAAGGAAGGAAGGAAGGAAGGAAGGAAGGAGAGACAACCTGCCCAGAAATGAGCATAGATTCTATAGGGGTTCACACTTTTAACTGCCATGTCTTTGGACTATTGTCTCTGCTTATTGAGTTGCATTTTTTTTTTTACTTTAGATATTTTATTATCTCCTTTAAATTACTTCTCAACTGAAGTCTATCTTTATTGCCCTGTTTACATGTTATCCACAAAATAGTGAAAACATATATGGGAACAGAGATGTAAAAATGAATTCTAATTGTGTAAGTACAAATAGAAACACTAGGCCAGTTGAAACTGTGATGAATCCTAGGAATGGAAATTACCCAGGAGTTCCTTTGTTCTCTCCTAACCTTCTGAACCCATTGTGGCTGTGTTCCTGGGCTGCAAAAAGTTTGGATCTGATGTATTTTGGCTCTTCCTCAGCCTATCCCTTCTCTACCCTCTTTTTGCTCTTCTATTAGCAATGTCTGATAGCACAAAGGGTCTTTTGCAGCCAGAAGAGACTTAAGCCTTCTCGTATGGTGCTAGAATATCTTCAGATTAGGACTACACTGTCTTCAGCTCTCTCTCATCTTGCAGCAGGCTTTTCCATGTTTTCCTCTTGCTCCCTTCTCTTCTTATGCTATTTGGAATCTCATTTTCCCTTTCCCCAGTCTGCTTGCTGCCTTTTGTGCCTTAACATCATGCTATTTCTTTCAGTTTTATTAATCACAAACCCACACCTATGGCCATCTATCACGGACTTGATTTCTTGGTCCTTGCCTGCATTCATTGTTTTATCATAAATTATATAGTGGAAAGAAAAGAAAGAGCATAACTCTATTGGCTGTTGATATCATCCAGTTTACCATGCATTTTTCAGTGCTCTAACATTTCCATGTTACTGCTGCACTCTTCCCTCCACCTAACTTTTAAAATTAAGATTTCCAATCTTTTAATTCTTTACAGGTAGAAATCACAGTGTAGCTATAAGTTGCTGCTGATCAGTGAAGCTTCACAAATGTAACATATCCTGAGTTGGCTCAAATGTAACATAATCCCGGTAGTTGGGGGAGCAACTAGAAATATTTAAGGCAATGAATATCTTCGCTAAACGTTTGCACTGTGTTTAGCTGTGATTCTACCTCAGTGGAACATTTTGCATATAGTTTTAGGTCATCCATAGAAGTCGTAGAAAAGTGAAGTTCGACGGGGCCTACAAGGCCATCAAGTCCAGCCCCCAGCTCATTGCAAATAATCAAAGCATATCTGCCAGGTGATTGTCTAAGTTTTTCTTGAATGCCTCCAGTGTTGGAGCACTCACCAACTCCTGAGGTAACTGGTTCCATGTATAACAGATGATTGATTTTTCCTGCTTGTTCTGAAATATGACAGCCCATAATGTTATTTAACATTATTTATATGGGGATTAGTGAGATGTTAAACGATGGTGAAAAAGAATCCCTTTCAAATATTCCTCTTTTGATGCTTTCCCAATTTCTTCACCATAGGCCATTAAGATTTCATTTCATTTTTCCATGTTTTTCTTGAGGAACATCTGAATATTATTATTAATCCCAAAAATTTTTAGGCAAATGTTAATCCAGCTGTGTGGCAATGAGTCAAATGCCTTTTTATAATCTATCTAGGCTATGTTAATGTTTGTTTTTTACTTTTTGCATTCTTTAGTATCATTTTATCAATAAGCAGCTGATATTTTGTGCCTCTTGACTTTTTAAAGTTCCTTTTTCCGTTCAATTGGGTATAAGGAGTTTTCAATTAAATAATTATATATTGATCTTGCAAGTACTCCTGTGAGAAGATGATGATGATGACAATGATGATGATTACTTCTTCTATACAAGTTAATCGAGAAGTAAGTCCTACTACTACTTTGTTCTGTGAGGCATACAGAATGCCGCTCCAATCTACTTAGTGTTGCTATTTCACTCTATTTTTTTATTTTTCTCTCCTTTTCTATATTTATATTCTGCTGTATGCCATTCTGACATTTTCTATGAAAGAAGACAGTATAAATATGTGAAAAATAAACTACTAACCACCACCAACAATCCACCATGATCTGATAGTGAGCCTAGTTCGTTCACTATCTGAAATCCTGTTGCTTAGCATAGTATGTCACACTACTGCAGGGCCACTGAATCAGTCATAGTTTGGTTATTGCTGCATAAATTCCACTGATTCAAATGGGCCCATTCTAGTTGAAACTTGTTTTAGCTTAGTAAATTGCAACTAGAGTAGACCTATATAAATAAATAGACGTAATGGAAAAGTTGATTCACTAAATCTCCACTGTTTCAATGGACCTACTCTAGTGTGACTTACTATGCTAAGTAACAGGATTTCAGTCAATTTATGTTATTTATTACTTACTGTCTGAGCATTTAGATGTCTGACATCCCCCTGTAATCCTTCACAGATACTTAATTATCATAAATAGTTTTCCATTATCTGCTTCACAGTGAATATCCTTCTGTACTGTTATTGAGGAATACATTAAGAAGAATGTGGCTGTGTAGTGCTGATTAGATTACTTGCTGTAGCAGTAATTCATTGGGATGTGATCTTATATTGCCACAAGAATGCTTGTATTTGGGGACTCAAGATATTAGATACCTGTGATTAAAGGGCTCTGTAGACACGGGTAAGAATACATATATAAAAATAAATAAAAACTGTCTGAGCAGGTCAACTGAAATAACACCAAAGGGCAGATAACAGCGTGCCTGATTTTAGTGAAATAGCCTCTTTGGTTTTTAAAAATGGTTTCTAAATATTCCACCCCCCATTTTTTTACTAAACATTTGGTTAAATTCAAATCTTAATACAAACTTGTTAAACCTACACCTATTACCTCCTCATTTTAAATCTGTTTATCAGTCAGACACACTGGGCTGGATCCAGGTATCTATCCTCACAAGTGGAGAAGAAGAATCTCTTTGTCTTCCAGCCCCAACAACCTCACCACATACTACTCTCTTAAGAATGCAAGATCATCCTGTTTGAAGTCAGCTGTGGTACAGGGAACTGAGTGGGAGGTGGAAGATTGCGGAGGCCTAAATGCATCTTCTGCTCCAGTCAAGAGAAAAATTTCCATCAAATATTCTCTAATCTTCCCTGTCTCTGAGGATTTGATGCTATCGCGTACAGCTGTTGGTAAGCCAAAGCTTCAGGAGATGCTACAATGTATATGGCTACACAAATCATTTATTTCTCTCCACATACTTGAATCATTTGTTCAGTTCAGAAATTATGCTTCATCTAAGTAAAGGAGGACATTTTCTTTCAACCTGGTGAAAATAACTTGTTCTGACCATTAACTCCTTGGTTTACTTCTAACTACTAATCTTCAGAATACTGTGAAATCCTTTAGGTTTAGAAAAGTGAAGGACAGCCAAGGAAACATGGGACTATCATAAATATGAAATATTTATTGCAACATCTTAGAATGATTTCATTAACATTGATATAAGTTAATATTCCTAATCCACTACAGCCTGACACACATAATGTGAAAAAGTACTGATGCTTCACACACCATTTCTAATGTCAATAAAACTGCCATGTGTGTTTAATGGTTAAAATTTGCACTACAACTGGAGACTCTCAGTTATGAATCTCACAGGATCACATTACCTTTAACTCTAACCTACTACACTATTTTATGTTGTTGCTGGGATACAATGATGGTGGCGGGAGATGTATAATACCTTGGAAGAAAGGTGTGATGTAAACAGAATAAGAAGAGATAAGTAAAAGAAATAAGATATTTATGTGTATTTAATAAAGGTTTACACAAAGTTGATGCTTCCCAGTAGATACATTACTTATTTACTTGTAAATTAACATATATTAGTTGTTGTGGTCACTACAAATTGGAACTGACTTGACTGCACACAATTGCCTTATCAGTATGCATAACCGCTTAGAGAATATATGAAGAACTAATACGGGTCCTAGTTAGTTGTGGATATGTGTCACATTTCTTCACTAACGTCACATGTGCAGCAATAGATACTTACAACTCATACCTGATAGGTATGGAAGGAAACTGCCTTGCCCCAACAAATTTATTCCCTTTTGAATAGTAACAATTTACTAATATAATAGGAATTATTTTTTAAAATGTAGAAATATTTAAGGTAATAAAACTATTGTCAAAAAGGACTATTATTTAGCTCCAAAAGAAAACAGAATAATGGATAAATTACACTATATACATAAATAAAACAGTTCTAAATAAATGTGTGGTTAAATCCAAATCTCTTACACTCGTACAACATATTAGCAAAAGAAAGCAATACTATCATTTTAAAACATAATGTTAATTCAAAATTAAGTCGGTTTAAACAGTAGTTTAATATGATAAAAATTAAAGGAAGCAATTACTTATAAAGCAGTTAAAACATTCACCAACATTTGTATCATTAGACAAGAATGCAGACGCTTCTGTTAAATCACCCACAACTATGTTAATTGTTGGTAATTATATTGGATTTCTTACTTAAAATATATCTTAAATGTACACTATTCTGTACATTTTGATCATACTTAGTGCTTTTATACCTGTGACTGCCTATTTATATTGTGATCTTTCAGGCCATAACAAAGAATCATACTGTACCTCGGGTGTTGATGGCTGTTGCCGATGGGACTGTGCTTGTTAAGGCTACAGTGGTTGTGACTGTTGCAGTGGTAAGGGAGGGGATGACAGTGATGGGAAGCAAAATGTTGGAAACATCTGGTGAGTGGAAAAAAATATAAAATAAAATCATATCATGCAAACAGAGAAGCAGCATAACAATGATTCAATTTGTAAATACACGCATGTAGAAAATGTATAAATTAAAACATGCTTAGCACAGACCAACAAAGGTACAGTAGTATACTTTGCAATTCTTGACATTAGATCACTCTCTCTCTCTCTCTCTTTTAATGCTCAAACAGCAACAATTTTAAATAAATGAGCACAACAAACGGCTATTCAAATGATTTTTTGAATACAGAGCAGAAGAGTGAATATGTGACAAGAATCCTTATCTTCACTAAGCCATTTTAAATGCTTCGTACAGCAATAAAGCAAATACAGACGAAAAAACATGCTGTGTCAGCTTGGAAGATGACAACACAACACTGTCATGCTAAAATAAACACATGTGTTAATATGATGGCTGTATGTTAAAACACCTACTTTGAGACAGACTCAATGAAACAAAACAGGGGCAAAATGCTACTAACTCTAAATGGTGCTTTATTTGACTTGTTCGTCTTCTTCCACATTTTGTTATAGACACAGTTGTCTGCCAAGACCCAAGAGCAGAGAACACATCAAAAAAAATTATTTTCAGTCACTACCATTCCATAGCAATTACAAATACTGGTTACTTGACGTACAACAAGACCTTGTTGTTCTTAAAAATATAGTTTGTGCATCAGTTGTAGAAACCAGATGAGCATTCCTACTAATGTGTGATTCATACAGTAACCTTAGCAATCAGGGTTGCAGGTTAGATGATATTCTAAATTGAATAAATGCTACTACACAAGCTACAGCCACTGCCACTAAATCACATCATAGATTCCCAGTAGCAAAGCCTTTTTGTGATGTTAGTATATAGAGGACAACAAACAAGACCAAGAGTGGGAAAACCCCTATGAAATCAGTACTTCCTAGACCACTGAAGATCAATGTTCCTTTGCCCAGGAAGTCACCAAAAATAATAAAAAAAAGAGGAGACACAAGAGAAAAACAGCCATCAAATGCTCAAAAACTGAGCTCTATGCATTTAAGACTCGGTATACGAGATAAACAAGTGCTGTTAAAAACAGAGTGCTATTTCTTCAGAAGTAGATATGGGTTATATCTGCAAAATGCAGAATCTCAGTAACATCCTTTCCCAGGGAAAAAAAAATTAGATAGCCTCCTGTATGACATATTCAGAATGTCAAACTGCTGAGCCCTAAAAAGAAGCATTTCAAGCATATTATAGTTCTGTTCAGAAGTAATTATTTTAGTAGACTTCTTGAATTTATGTGTATTGCAAATATTTTTCCTTAGCAGATCGTACTGCCAGTTTAAAACATTCCCTTTTTATATCCCAGCTGACCTTCAGATTAACACACAGTTTTATTAACTTTAAATAAAAGCACACAGCATTAGCCTCGCATACCTATGCTTGCAACTTTTTTTTTTCTGGTTTTGGTTTTTTGCAGCAAAAACCTCTATACAAATACACATTTTCACTCTTGCCATATTGATGTTTACATCTGCTCTTCAGTAAGAGATATTCCCTGGCCAACAAAATTAAGGCTGGCTTTTCAAAAATTTAATGTTGCACCATTAATCACTAGGACAAACGGTGATAGCACCTGGAGTGCAACTGCCATGACTATTAAGTAGAGTTGATGTTAGTCAACTCTGTTCATGAACAATCTAAAAATGACTTGTGGATCATTTTATATAATTTTATAGGGAGAATAATTAATTTTGTAAATGGATATGCCAAAGATCTTAAACAAAGAAAACAGTAGGCATCTCAGCTTATAGGTGCTACATGAACAGATTATTGGTTACTGGCCAGCACTGGGGGATTAGAACTGGTGCAGTCAGAGCCCCAAGTGCCGCCAAATGTCCACTTCACTTCAGCAATCACTGAAGGTTCCACCAAAAGTTGCTGTTTTCTGGAAGCCACATGGGCATACACCACTCCATAATTGTCATACACCTGAAGCAGGGGTTGGGGCTGCACGACTCCGAGCTGGGTCAGACCATGACTCTGCCCCAATCTCCCCATACAGGGAGGTTTGTTCACCATTCTGAGTAGGCTCCTATCATTGCCCTTAACCCAACTGGATCCAACCCCAGTATCCTAAACTGTCAACAAAGTTGTGACAAATTAATTGACTGTACACATGCATGATAGTGATAACATCCAAACCCTCCACTCTTACAACCTATAAAATAACTTAAAACAACAACACATCATTCCACCACCATAAAAGACATAAAAGACAGAGGGAGGCAAGGAAAAGAAAAATGGGGAGCAGAGCAGACGACTGGATGGGGGGGAGTGATTGCATCCTCCAGCTTTTACGCTGGGCAAGTGGATCAGACTAAAACCCCTCCTTTTCTGGTTGGCCTATACTGCAATATTTTGTTTGGATTCCCTCTGCTGGCTGATACCAAGGTGGAAGAAGAACCCCACTCCCTACTGCCAATTAGGTCCAGCAAGGGAGTCTCTGGCAACCCCTCCTCCTTGCCCCACTGGACTGTGTGGCTGCCGCCATGCCTGCCCCAGTGCCCTGAGCTCAGGTGAGCCCTTCCTGGCAGCAACTGGGGTGCCCAGGTAAGTCTGGGCTCTTTTGTTTTGTTTTATGAGACCATGCAGTTAGGCTGTTAAATACTTCCTTGCCTCACTAAACCAGCATCACTGCTTTCATCTGTAAAACATTAGGAGGCAGTGCTTGCAAGTAGCCATTCTGCAAATCAGCCCATGTACAGAACAGTGAATTTTCAGTTGTCCTATTCTACCTGGATACAGTTTTCTGTAACCCAGTTACCTGTCCAACAAATGTAACGGATACAGTCTCCTGCTGAAAGGGCAGCTTGCAGTGTACACTACTGAAGATGAATGAGGCTAGGAAGGGATACTATGCTGAGAACAGCTGCTGTGGCTTTGGGAGCAAGATACCTAAGCAATGCTTCACTTATCACATCATGGGGTTAGTGGTAACTACCACAGAAAACTCGGAAGGAATGTTTGTCACTCAGAAGTGTTTCTGGTTTTAGATCTGTAAATGGTGCCAGTCATTAAATGTATCATTAAATGGGGAAAGGATCAAAACCAGGAGTTGGAGCACAATTCTGTGATTGCCAACTGGTGAAAATGAAACACCCTGTGTTACAGAAGGAAAGGGAGAAAATATGTTTGCCAGAAAAACACAGGGAGGCAAGTGCTGCCCTGACCAATCATCATTCTAAGTCTTTACATTATTTTAACTTCTCTAGCAATCACAATTGTGCTGCTAGTGATAACAAAATATAGGCTCCAGAGCTGTATTCTGCTTTGTGCTTCCTCAGAGTATGGCTTAACATACTATCAAGTTATACTGCTTTAATAGGCTTATAAAGCAGCAATGATGAATAGTTTCCAGTGCTGTCCCTATTTCAATGTTTATTAAGCATGATATACCAGTCCTTAGTGACCCAAAACGTCTAAGAGTTTGCTTCCAACAAATAAGTTGAATTTTAATATTCTCAGAAAGTGAACAAGGTATTGCTACTGTTGTGTCAAGGGCATGAGGGGAGTGTTTACTGATGAAGCCCATTGATATTATTAGTGAAACCAGAAACTGCTGTTTTATAGCTCCCAGAGTAATAGAAATAAATATAGCCTTTTGACACATATTGGTTTCTTATGGGAGCAAGAAGCAAAATATGGCCAAGACTTCCAAAGTAAGACTTTTTTAGAAAGCAAAATATTTTATTCTCTTGAGGGCAAGCTTTCTCCTATACATTTACATCCTACTGAATATAATCTGATGTACTGCATGACTCTAAACATACTTATTAGAACTTGATCCCACTGACATGTCATTTGACGTACACCCTCCAAGTTCAATGGTACTCTTTTTTGGTTTGTTTACAACAGTTTGATACAACTAATACATTGGCTGAAATCCTGGTGCTATAGGCCTCTTGAGGTAATGGAACCTACAGAGTTGTTGATTCACTTATTCTGCACTGGTTCAATGGCCATATTCTAGTTGTATCTTACTATGCTGAGCAACAGAATTCCAACCATTGTATTCTATGGTTTTTCATCAAAAACTTAGTATATCTTTACTAGAACAATATGGACAAGTAAAAGTATCTTAGTGGTGTTTTTTTAAAGGCTTCTGCAGCATTTTGCAAAACCAACAAAAGCAACTTACACTGCAAAAAAAGAGAAGAATATAGAATCACAATTTTGTACTTCTATTTTATTAAGACACTAAATTTCCCCCCATTCCACAACACACTCTAAGCCTGGAATGCACAACCTTTTTTTGGACTACAACTCACATTATCCCTTACTAGTAGGTATACTGACTGGAACATTTTATATCTGAAACTGCCTATTCACAGAATTTTGTAAGGGGTTCAAATTAAATATTAATCCATTAATAACCAGAGTCAGCCCGAAGGGTGGACAAGATGGGTGGCTTCCTGGAGGCCAAGCAGAGCAGAGCACAGAGAGAATCCAGTGGCTTTCTCTACTTTCTGCAGCAAGCTACAAAAAGCATAGTAACTGCTCTTTTAAAAAATGCATCAAAAGTAAAAGCCTGTAATAGTTCTACTGTGCTGGATAGTGTACTGCCTCTGCTCAGAATATGGCCTTTTGGTTTTTACGAAGTAGAGCACAGTAGAGGAGAAATCAAAATTTTGAGCAGTGCTGCTCACAATGGTTAGATATTTACAATCCATATGACAGAGACTTCATCAGGATTCTAGAACTGGATCGTAAGTGCACTGTATACAAAAATGAAAACTGAATGGAAAGAAAACCAGTAAAATAATATGGTTACATTTACTGTTGAAGATTGAGTATTGAGGCAATAGGTTGCTTCATAGGATACATTTTTATTTGCAAACTATTTGCTAAATAACTCAGCTTCTAGCTGAAACAGAGCCCCAAAGGTATTGTACAAAAATAAAACAAAGCACAAAAATGAAGTCAAAATGATGGCTCAAACTGACAG